GTGTGTGTGTGTGTGTGTGTGTGTGTGTGTGTGAAATTCAAAGAGCTGATTCTAAAATTTATATATATTGTGTGTGTGTGTGTGTGTGTGTGTGTGGGCTCATACTCCCTAAATTAACTGGATCACCCATGTGTGTGTGTGTGTGTGTGTGTGTGGGAGACAACACCCTGTGAGGTTGGGGTGCTGTGCTATAGGATGTGGTACATGGCTTAATCCAGAGGTCACTGTGTGGGGCTGTCTTCCCCATAGGCTGTGTGTGTGTGTGTGTGTGTGTGTGGGTACAAATGAAAGTTTCCCTTCTTACTGGTAACCCTAATGCTCCCTGGAAGGAGTTTTACTTCAAGTCACCACAACCCGCCATGACACTCGGTAGGTTGGGAGATCCTAGTGCCTAAAGGATGAGTACTTCCACCAGCGAACTGGCAGTAAAGTGGAAGATTAAACTGTGTCGATTATTCTTTTTTTTTTTTCTTTTTGAGACAGGGTCTTGCTCTGTGTGTGTGTGTGTGTGTGTGTGTGTGAATCTTGGCTCACTGCAGCCTTGACCTCCTGGTCTTGTGTGTGTGTGTGTGTGTGTGTGTGCTGAGTAACTGGGACCACAGGAACACATCACTCTGTGTGTGTGTGTGTGTGTGTGTGTGTGAGAGATGGGGTTTCACCAAGTTGCTCAGGCTGGTCTGTGTGTGTGTGTGTGTGTGTGTGTGCCCACCTCGGCCTCCCAAAGCATTGGGATTACAGCTGTGTGTGTGTGTGTGTGTGTGTGTGAGTCATCAGTAAGCCAACAGGCAGAGGAAGTGGTCATTATATTGGACAGTGATTGGTCCTAGAAGCCAGCAAACAAAGGGCATAATCAGAGTAAGTTGTGTGTGTGTGTGTGTGTGTGTGTGGTTAGGGCAGAGGTCACAGAGGGTCAGTCCATCTTTGTGTGTGTGTGTGTGTGTGTGTGTGCATTACAGAGGCTCTGGGCAACATGAGGATCCTGATGTGTGTGTGTGTGTGTGTGTGTGTGACAGGAACTGCTGAAATATTTTCCAGAAATACCATTGTGTGTGTGTGTGTGTGTGTGTGTGAGGACTGGGAATACACTTTATTTGAGATCCTGTTGTGTGTGTGTGTGTGTGTGTGTGTGTGGCCAGGCAAACTTTGGCCTGCTGGGACACACTGAGTGTGTGTGTGTGTGTGTGTGTGTGTGGGCCAAATCAGTTCTTTCCCCCACCCACCTTCATGTGTGTGTGTGTGTGTGTGTGTGTGTGGCGGTACGGCCGAGAGAAATGCCTCATAATCCCCATGTGTGTGTGTGTGTGTGTGTGTGTGTTTACAGTCATTCCTAAGAAGGAGAGACACAAGGAGAGTGCAAAGTGAAGAGAGAGGAGGATGACCGATAAAAGGGGTTAAGTGGGGCCGGGCGCATGTGTGTGTGTGTGTGTGTGTGTGTGTTTGGGAGGCCGAGATGGGCGGATCACGAGGTCAGTGTGTGTGTGTGTGTGTGTGTGTGTGGGTGAAACCCCGTCTCTACTAAAAATACAAAAAAATGTGTGTGTGTGTGTGTGTGTGTGTGAGGCGTCTGTAGTTCCAGCTACTCGGGAGGCTGAGTGTGTGTGTGTGTGTGTGTGTGTGTGGCAGAGCTTGCAGTGAGCTGAGATCCGGCCACTGCTGTGTGTGTGTGTGTGTGTGTGTGTGCTCCGTCTCAAAAAAAAAAATAAAAAATAAAAAATTGTGTGTGTGTGTGTGTGTGTGTGTGCAGCATGCAAATGAGGGAAGGGTCCTTCCAAGTCTTGTGTGTGTGTGTGTGTGTGTGTGTGAGGGTGGTGCAGGGGACACTGGTGCTCCATAGCTTTGTGTGTGTGTGTGTGTGTGTGTGTGGGAAGAATAGGTATTGGAAGTGTTGGGTGAACTGCAGGAGGAACACGATGGATGATGCTGGTATTGAAAACACCAGCAGGAAAGAAATACTGTGGGTGTGTGTGTGTGTGTGTGTGTGTGTGATGATGTGAATACAGGATTGAGAGAAATAGAGGGTTGTGTGTGTGTGTGTGTGTGTGTGTGAAATCCTGGTTTGGGGGCACATTGGGAGTACTTTATGGCCAGGACATGTTGGAAGGAGATGCGAAAGGTTGGGAGGTGGTGCTGGGAGTGGAGTAATGTGTGTGTGTGTGTGTGTGTGTGTGCTGGAAGTCTCTGGGCAAGCTCTCCAGTGAATGAATGTGTGTGTGTGTGTGTGTGTGTGTGGTTTTGGTTAAAGGTCGAAGGGCCTCCAGCCTGTCTGTGTGTGTGTGTGTGTGTGTGTGTGTGCATACTGAATGGAAGACACATTAACCCCTGGGGTGTGTGTGTGTGTGTGTGTGTGTGTGGGGTAGAGATGAGAGGGACCATACTCCTTCAATCCTGTGTGTGTGTGTGTGTGTGTGTGTGACTCCCCAACCTGCTTCTCCAGAAGATAGGAGAGCAGGGCTCTCTAAGAAGGGGCAGTGGGGCCCCTATCCAGAAATCTGGGCTAGGC